AACCAACTTGCACCTGATTCCTATTTTGGGGAACCAATTTTCAAAATCGTCATTTTGGGGAACCCACTTGCACCTGATTCCTATTTTGGGGAACCAACTTGCAAAATAATTATAGAAAAATAACTAAAATTCATTTTTTTTTCAAAAATTAATGCAATAAAATCTATTTTTCATTTCAAATCTCGATTTTTTAAATTCAAATATCAAATTGAAGATTTAAAAAAAAAACCAAATTACCACAATAAAAATTGTTTTTTACTAATGCAATAAACAATCAATTTAATAGAAAATTTTAATTGATGCAATAAAAATAAATATTAAATATCACATTCAAAATTTCTATATCTAACCAATCCGTATCAATATTAAAGTTTAAATCAAATTTGGCAAATCAAACCAAAAGTTTGATAGAGACCCTTAAATTATATGTTACATGTTCAACAGATCAACCAGAGTACCAGACCCTTAAATAAACAAAAAGTTTAATAGACATTCCTAAATAACGATTTTAAAAATTGATTCCGCAAAATAAGAATCAGGTGAAAATTGGTTTGATTTTGATGCAATTTTCCCATAAATCTAACGCGAAAAAGCAACATCTTTAAAGTTTACGCAACAAACCTTATTTTAGTATAAACTTTACCCATTCACCCCTATAAATATAGCATATGCCAACTTTAGTCCTTGCATTTTTATATTTACTGATCTTTGGGCCCACTAACCTCTATTTTTAATCCCTGAAAATCTAAGTTAATTCTCAAGAGGTCACCGGCGCTCCCGCTCCTTCTTTATAAATACCACCATTTCCACCACCATTTCCACCGTACCTTTCCCTTCTCTCTCTAGCTCTCTCTCTCTCTCACACACACACACACACTGAAACCAAAAATGGGTTTTAGGGTTTTGCTCTCAGTGATGGTTCTCACCTCTTGCTTCATGGTGAATGTGTTCGGTGGTGATGATCTTGATCTTGTGAGCTGGACACAGGCTCCACACCACGCGCCGTCGTACCCACCGGTGGGAGCTCCACCGCCGCACCACCATCACAAGGGTCCAGGTGGTCACCACCACAAACCTGCTGTTCCCCCCACCGCTCACCCACCAACTGTGGCTCCTGTTCACCCACCAATCAAGACTCCGGTTGCCCCACCCACCAAGGCTCCGGTTGCCCCACCTACCAAGGCTCCGGTTGCCCCACCCACCAAGGCTCCGGTTGCGCCGCCCACCAAAGCTCCGGTGAAACCACCCACCAAGGCTCCGGTTAAGCCACCAACCAAGGCACCTGTCCACCCACCAATTCACTCACCGGCTCCGAAGCACGCACCACTTCCGACACGGAGGCAGGTGGCGGTTCGCGGTGTTGTTTACTGCAAAGCTTGCAAGTACAAGGGGGTGGATACACTCATGGCTGCTACTCCTCTTCAGGGTACAATTTCTCTCTCCTTTTCATTTTAAAAATATTTCATAATATGCAATATATATATATATATATATATATATATATATATATATATATATATTTCAAATACAATGATATCTATCTGTACAACCAATACGAATTAATTAATTGAAATATTTATAGTAATGATGAGAATTTATTTATTATGATTTTAATATTTATGAAAGATAAATATGATTCATTAATTATGATCAATATTTTATATTAGAAAACAATCAAAACTTCTATGAAATCATATATTCATCAAATTAAATGGACGGTTGAGATTTAATTGTATTGGTTGTATAAATATAAAGGGTTGTATAATAACCAACCTATATATATATATATATATATATATTAGTTTTTATTTAATTATAATGCTAAAAAAATTCAATTATTTGTACGTATTACAAATAGTTAACCGAATAAGTTGCGAGTCTAGTTAATACGTTAACAAACGGGTCTTAAACTTTCTTATATTCGATAGCTTTTTGACCACATTGGATCGTAAAAATAACTCTCGACGAAAAAAACCAACATTTTGTTTTTAACCGCACAAACTTTCAATAAGCTCGGTAAGCTTAGGTTGGCCGCTAAGCTTGTGGGTCCCACTTTTTTAAAAGAAAAAGTTCAAATACAAAGTTTTTGACCGTCAATGTCAAGTCATCAAATTATATCGTGCCCCTCTGGTTTATAGCTCAGTTGGCAAATGAGAGGTGCGACTTTGCTCAAATACACAACATGTTCAAGTTCAAATCCTACAGGGTACATGCACTTGAACCCCTTCACTGGGCTTAACCGCTTAACTGGTTCTGAGATGTCTCGTCACATGTGGTCCGTAAGGGACGTTTCGTGTGAGGTCGGTCAGGTTCCGGTAATCAACCTTTTATGCTCTAAAATTGTGATTTTTCATTGTTAGGGTTTACACTCAACAAAAATTGAGTCAAACGTCGTTACATTTTGATACGAACAAACGTGCATAAAGTACAAGTCATCGAAGCATAATTTTCATGTGGGTACAACCAATTAATGCATGAAATGTGAGTTTACAGGAGCTGTGGTACTCTTAACATGCAACAACACCAAGTACCCATTGAGGGTTAAAGCTACAACCGATAAGAATGGCTTCTTCTTCATTATGCCACCTAAGACGTTGACCACCTATGGGGCCCACACATGTAGGGTCACTTTGCTATCGTCACCAAAGGCTACATGCAACCAACCCACCAACTTACACTACGGTCTCAAGGGTGCCACCCTGGTCCTGACCCCCAAGCCACATGGCTCGAGCCTACCAGCGGCGCCACCGCTCCCCTTCGATGTGTTCACCGTGGGTCCGTTTGCATTCGAAGCATCTAAGAAGACACCATGTACCCATTAAAATTTAGAGGGACTGATTTTGTCAAGAATAAAAGTTCAGGGGTGTGAAGGTTATGATTAGAATTATCTTTTATTTTATTTGGAATTTAGATGTTTGAGGGGTAGTTTGGTAATTTCATGAAAGGAGGGCTTTTTGGTATGTGGTACTATGGTAATAAATGTGGAGTAAAATCTACTTTTCAACCATGAGTTCTTGTATTTAATAACAATTTTTTTTTGGGTTAATATTTTTGTTACAATTTAATGATTATTTAATTATAAACACAAAGAAAAGATGGGTAAAAATGGGGTTATTATCATAAACACTCAAATGAGTTAACAGTTTTTCAAAATATAGAGGGACTGATTTTGTCTTGAATGAAAGTTGAGGGGCTTGAAGGCTATGATTAGAATGATCTTTTTTTTTTAAATTTAGATGTTTGAGTGGTAGTTTGGTAATTTAATGGAAAGAGGATGGCTTTTAGCTATATGGTGTTGTTGAATGGTTTGTTGCAGAATGATTAAGTGGTCTGAACGACTAAGAGACTCATGATATAGTGCAAAATAAAATATTATTGTTTGGTAATTGTTTACAATAAAATTAGGGCGTTTAATGATTAAGGAAGACTCACTATACAAAATCATTCAAAGGGTTTTGGTACCATTAAGAGGCAGATTTTTTTTTTGCCAAACAAGATTCACCTCTTAATGATTCAAAGACTGTTTCTTAATTGAACTATTAAGAGGTAAACAAACAACCCCTAAATCTACTTTTGAACAATGAGTACTTAAAATTAATAACAATTTTATTTCTTTAAAATCATTTTGGAAAATTAATAATTAAATCACTTCTATACAATAGTTGTTTTTTGGGTAAATTGCATGAAAAAATAACGTACTTTAACTTGATTCATATTTTGAGTAACGTACTTACAAAACTTTTATTTTTGTACCTAAGATGTAAAGTTTAAGCATTTAAGTATCCAGGTAACCGGTTATCATGCTGATGTAACGAGTGATGTGGTATCTAACTCAGTATTATTTATTAACGTGGTTAGTGACATGGATTTTTTAATCTAAAATTAGTCTTTGTAATCTAAAATTAGTTTTCAACCGGTTACCTAGGTACTTAAATGTTTAAAACTTTACATCTTAGGTATCAAAATAGAATTTTTGAAAGTGCTAACCAAAATAGGAACCAAGTTAAAGTACGCTACTTTTTCATACAATTTACTCTTGTTTTTCAGTTAAAAGTTAGTTTATCAGCCAATATTACATATATGTAATAGCATTTATCGAATTTCCTCCATGTAAGGGTAGCAAAATTTATGCAAAAACAGATTTACGATTATTTGTCCCCTGAACAAACAAGGAGTCTCTCCATTATGTTCCGCATCTGCGAAGATAAGCAAGAATACAATTTTTTTAATCACCGTGTTTGTATTTTCATTAAAAACCAACCATTATACTGTATAAAATTGGTTTTACAGAACGTCTAAAATGTATAAGCATCGTAATAGAATAACTTATACTACATAAGTTTATAGGACAACACTATAAACCTTATTATTTGAAAACGTTACAATAAGTTTATAGAACTTTTTAGGTGTTTTTACAATGCCCTATTAGCTATTTTTAATGTACTTTTGAAAAACATCGTACAAACCCATCTTTTTATATGATAATTTTTCAAGTAGTATCGTATAAAATAGCTAATACGACACTTTATTTTAAAAGTGTCCTAACAAACTTGTTAAAACGTCTAAAAACATCCTATAAACCTACTATAATACTTTTAGATAAGACGTTTTTTGATTTGATCATATAGACTTAAGTAATGTGGATTATTTGATTAGGATGCTTAGACATTTTATGATATTAAAAATATGTAAATAGTAATGAGAAGAATTTTGTGGTGGTGGTGGTGGGAAAGTAAAAGTGATGAATGTGTAGGCATGGGAAAGGGTAAAAGCATGATGGTGAATAATTGTGTTGTGTCACCTCTCCCCACAATATTCTCATGTCTATATTTACTCTCAAATCTTTATCATTCAAAAAAACCCTTCTTCCGACATAAAAGATTTCACTTTTTTTTTTGTTGATAAAATACAAATTATTAACATAATATACATGTGAGATCATTTTTTTTATACTTGAAATTTCACAATAAAATATTGTGAAGGTAAAAAAAATTAAACATTTATAACAAAAACACTGTGAAGATTATATATATATATATATATATATAGAGAGAGAGAGAGAGAGAGAGAGAGAAAGAGAGAGTTGGATTCATGTGAGACCAATGGTTTTTCGTGAGACCCGTAAAACGGATTTATGTTCATTGATCAACTTTATAAAGTAATAATCTAATGATCTAAAGTTGCACGGTGACAATTTTGTGATTATTGAGAAGTGTCGTGACAATTTTGTGATTATGAATGTTCAGATTGTAGATCTAATCCAAGGGTTGAGAATTGATCTTACGAATCTCACGAAAAACCGTTGGTCTAATATATAAAATTGGGATCATGTGAGACCCGTAAGACTAATTATCTACCCTCGGATTAGATCTACAATATGAACATTCATAATCATTAAATTGTCACGAGACTTCTCAATAATCATAAAATTGCCACCGTACAACTTTAGACCATTAGATCATTAGCTTATAATGTTAATCAATGAACATAAATTGGTCACAAAAAACTCTTGGTCTTACATGAACCCAACCCTGTATATATAGGGTTTATTTCAAATACAACCTATCTTATTCAATCTTATGAAATTTTTTCATGAAATTGTTTAATCTTGTGAAATTGTTTCATATAATACTTTTTTTGATAAAGTTGTTTCATATATGGTTATGAAATTGTTTCATATATGGTTATGAAATTGTTTCATATACTACTTAATGAAACTGTTTCATGTATTTCTCTAAAATTAATGAAACTRTTTCATGTATTTCTCTAAAATTAAAATAATGAAGATGATAATATCCATGATTAACATCATCCACAATAAAAATGATTAATCAACCTCTCATAATTACAAAAAAATGAACAAAATGAAAAATTATGATTAGTTGAATGAAGTTTGTACGGTTTGTACAAATTAGGTGGTTTTTATTTGAACGCTCCCCTATATAGATATATATATATATATATATATATATATATATATATACTCGTTCAACTTTTTTTTTCGCAAGTAGGATATTTTTTGAAGTATGAAAAGTGAACCTTCTAAACTTTGAAGGTGCTGAGGATATTACAAAATATAAATAACATCAACCAAAAAACCGAAAAAAGTATATGGAAATTGACAAAAAAAAAACTTAAAAATTCCTCGAAATCAATAAATTAGAGCTATAAAAAATCCCTTGAAACGTGGAATTCGGCTAAAAATACATTAAGTGGTTTTACGAGTCTTTGATTCACCTTAAATGTGCACTTGTTTCGTAAAAATCCTGGGTCCATCACTGTTTTGCAGTAATGTATTTCAAATTTCTATCATTTAAGAGATAATAGCATTGATAATAGAAGGTTGTTACAAATCATTATCTTGATTAAAAGTTCTTACAAACTATTAAAGGATTTTAAGTTCATGTATAAATACTTTGATTATTAGCTTATTTTTTGTGTCAAATATTATTTTATTAATTTTTAAATATATTATTTTATTTATATAATAATTATTGATGTTGAAAAAAATATTTAACCTATAAAAAAGTTATTGTAAATGACTAGGGGTGCTCATGAGTTGAGTTGGTCAGGTTGAAGACATTTGAACAACTCAATCAAATGTTTGTGGCTTGAAAAATCTCAACCAAACCCAACGATCGTATGGGTTGGTTGAGTTAGTCGGGGTTGATACTATGATATATCAAAAATATTCTTCTAATCTTGAATATATTGTTTTCTCTAGTCATAATTTTTTTTTCCATATACCAATCATTTGATACATCTTATCCATACTCTTTAAATCTTAAGTATATCATATTCAACTATTTTTCACAATTTGTATATATATGTTCATATTTATTGAACAAATATACAAGGGGTTATATGGAGATGTATAAGAGAATGAAAATATATGTATATGAAAGGACTACGTGTGAGGTAATTGTTTAATGTACATATTGATAGAGACTTAATAATCATACTAAATCCAAGAAATAAAAGGATATCAGGTTCCTCGAGTCGAGTTGGGTTCAAATGACTGTAACCAATTCCGATCCAATACCCGTGTTTTGAAGATTTTACAACTCGATTAGATATCAGGTTGTTTCAAATTAGATTATTTTGCGTTGGGTTGGGCTGGCCGGCTGGTCAGGTTTTTAAGCATCCCTATTGGTGACATGATGTGACCAAAACAGTACATAGTATAAGATGGATGCTTTTTTATCTGAAATGAGAATCTGATAGCAAGTAAAATGTTCACTATATAAGTTTTTGGGAATACTGATAAAAATACATAACAATATGATCCTTTTCTATTCAAAGATATCAACATTATCTTTATGTTATGTAGGTTATAAACTGTACATGTTTGAAATTGATTGTCGGATAAAATGAACAGGTTATAAAACGAATTAAAATGTATCATCGGTTAAAAGGGACATCCGGTCAACTCGTTGTACTTCAACAACCATCGTTTATTTATTTATATTTTTGCTTTTACTACTAAAAACGGGTTTTCATATAAACAAACACAGATGAAAA